GCGGCTAGTGGTCTCACTCTGGCGGCTAGTGGTCTCACTCTGGTGGCTAGTGGTCTTACTCTTGCGGCTAGTGGTCTCAATCTGGCGGCTAGTGGTCTCACTCTGGCAGGCGGCTAGTGGTCTTACTCTGGCGGCTAGTGCTCTCACTCTGGCGGGTAGTGGTCTCACTCTGGCGGCTAGTGGTCTCACTCTGGCAGGGGAAGAATGGGAACAATTCATTGTATCAAACGTCTGAAATATTTCACCCGCTCTCACTCTCACTCCCAACCTACATCTCCCTCGTTTTTCCTCGCGTACTCTGTATCGCCCACTCTCTCTCAATCTTCCTCGCACACTCACTCTCCCCCACTTACTCGCACTTTCTATTACTCTCTCCCTCAGTCGCTCTCCATTCCTCACTCCCCCAACTGACTCTCCCTTATTCACGCCAGCTTCGTCACTCTCACAAGTCGCTGGATTACAGGAAACGAAGAGCTCTTCAAAACAAAGACATAAAATAACTCCTTCTAGACCACCATTTCCTGTCTCCTTTTCTTCATTCTTTAGTTTTTAATACACACCTCTTTTTCTAATATTAAGTTTGGTCTTATTTACACAATTTAAAAAAAAAAAATTTGATATGGTCAAGATGCTTTCGTGTGCAAAACCCTTTTAAATATTTATTTTCATTTCAGCTTTGAAAGTTTTTGTTAAATCTTTATAAAAACGGTTATCATGATTTAAATAATACTTTGGATGAACAATTGTTCGAGCTGATATTGAGCTAACAATATTTGGTTATCGGCATAATAAGTTAACACAAATGTCGGCCCATCTTAATAATAATGACCTGAAATTAAAATCAGTCTGTCCTGTTACTTAAGAAATAAACAACTCAAATGTTGACAGTCTGTCCTGTTTCCTGTGTTTAAGAAATAAACAACACTAATTTTGACAGTCTGTCCTGTTACTTAAGAAATAAACAACACAAATGTTGACAGTCTGTCCTGTTTCCTGTGTTTAAGAAATAAACACCGGGGGGGGGGGGTAGGGGGGTGGAAACGACTACAAACAAGCCAAACATTCATTTAAACAGAAGTATAACATTACAACATTTTATCTTTAGCAACAGGGATTCTCAGTCGAAAAGTTCACTAGCACTTAGTCACTAAACTCTTTGCGTCTTCTCTGTTATGTGAACTTTGACCTCCGGGCTTGCGCTGTTTGAGAAGCCCTTATGTTTGCGAATTGTTTGATAGTAAAAAGGTGGGGCTGGGGGGGGGGAGGAGAGAACTTCAAATCTACTTGAAATTGGCATCAATACACTCGGTGGTCACATATGTGTGATGCATGCCAAGTTAATCTATTCCAGTGGCTACCACACTTTATTGCACTGTACCCCCACCCCCAAACACCCCCCCTCCCCAAATGAAGAAACATAATTCTTGAAAGTCGTCTACTCCATGAATAATAAAAGACTCATACTTATTAATTTAAAAATAATTAAACTACCCCCCCCCCCAAACCCCCCCCCCCCCCAAATGAAAAAACATAATTCTTGAAAGTCGTCTACCCCATAAATAAAAAAAGACTCATACTTATTAATTTAAAAATAATTAAACTTTCTTGACCCCCCCCCCCCATTTTTATATCAGGTAGTTCTCAGCCCTCTAAGGGGGGCAGGGGGTCCCCTTTAACCCTCCAGTTTGGAAACCTATGTTCTAATCCTTATCGATAGCCCTTCTCCCCCTCCCCACCAAGCCCCCGTGGAGCAACTGTTTGGGGAAAACTTTGTTATTAAAAGCATTGATTGTAAGATGATACTGGCTGAACGGAATAATCATATGGTAGGGTGAGGGGGGGGGGGTTGAGAGAAGCTGGCAAAAAATTTAACAATTTTAAGATGTACGTTTGTGAGGGGCACATTTTCCAGTAACAATTTTAAGATGTGCGTATGTGAGGGGCACATATTCCAGTAACAATTTTAAGATGTACGTAAGTGAGGGGCACATATTCCAGTAACAATTTTAAGATGTACGTATGTGAGGGGCACATATTCCAGTAACAATTTTAAGATGTGCGTATGTGAGGGGCAAATATTCCAGTAACAATTTTAAGATGTGCGTATGTGAGGGGCACATATCCCAGTAACAATTTTAAGATGTACGTAAGTGAGGGGCACATATTCCAAATCTCCACCATTTGAACGGAAAAGCAAAATATTTTTTTAAGGACACCTTTTTTATGTTATATTTTATAATCTTTGAAGCTAAGAAATCGAAACCTCAAAGGACTATATTTCTATGACTCGATGTCAAATAAAAAATATGTATTTTTCTATGACTATGACTCTATGTCATATGACATTGACACATGAGACTATATTATATACATATATATATATCTCAACGTTATCTAACGGTATGACCCTCTCAACAGTTTTCTCTTCATTTGTGAGTTTAAACATTTTGATCAAGCTTCATAAAAGATTGTTGTAAAAATGTCATGTGTTTTTTACGGACATCATTATGTGTTCATCATTATTAAATCCTTTATATTAACTTCGATTTTGTTCGAGGCTGGCTGGCAAAATCTTCGGACGGCTTATAGACCCACTTCCCGTCAAACTATCGATCTGAAACTTGGCACATACTCGTTCCCGATGGCAACACATTCTATCAAATTTTCAGCTCCAAAAATTTGTTCTTCCCTGATTTTGTCAAGGGGAAGAGAAAATAAAATTCCCGATATCAGCGCTCAATGGGATTCGTGTTTTTTTAACTATAGCAAGTGCGTTTGGTGCGTAATATGTTCTTTATTTTGTTTTTTCTAAAATAATTGGTGAAATAAATAATGTAGTTCAGGCGTGTAAAAACATGTGTGGTTGCGATCATTGGGGGGGGGGGGGGGGTGACGGGAACCAATTGGGATT